TTCTATTTCCCCAGTCATCTTTATATTGCTTTATTCTAGAACCTTTAAACTGTTCCTGTTACTTCTGGACTACTTCCAGAGTTGATCTGCACTTTCTGTTGAGTCCCTCATCTTCTCCTGAATGACAATGTTGGTGGACTCCAGATTGACATTCCCACTGACCTATCCCCGGATGCTGGGAAAGCCTGGCCCTGGGACAGGCCCAGACTAGGACACTGACATTTTAGTTCCTTGGCTCTTGAATGACCCCACTAGGCCCAAGTTTGCTGTGGCTGAAAGTTAGTGTTCTGATCTTGGCTACCAAGATCTTTATCTATTGACTTTGATATGTCTGTATAGTTTTACTTGATACAATACCAGGAAACAGCAGTGGAAGTGGAACCAGAAATGTGATCTTCATGAATAATATTGCACTCAAGATTGCTATAGGTGTACTAACTTCACTTGCTAGAAGGGAACAAGATAGATAACAAGTGAAATTATAATCCAAAGATGTTTTGCCTGTCTCGTATCTGGAGGATATTTTTTTTCTTAATTCATGTTTTAAATTAAATAAATGAATTTGCTCGTAGCACATGGTCCATGGTATTATGTTTAGTCTTTCGGGCATTTGGCATGCAAGCACTGCAGCTGTCAGAAATATTTTTATGCACCTACTTCAGGAGCATTTAGCATGAAATGTACTCTACAGACATGGTAAAACTGAAAATAAAGGTTTATTTGCAATTTGACTAAATGTATTTACAACACTACAGCACATTTGATTTGATGAACCACCTTCACCTTAGTTTTGTAAATCTAAAAATTTTCAGGATCATAATGAGCTGGCATGAGAATATCATTGCACAAAGCTATTCATCTCAAAATTCTCTTTCATCTCAAAGCACTTGCACCCTTCTAGGTGGCAGCGTTTGACATAAGACAGACCATTGCTTAGGTTCCTGTATGCTATTTCCCTCAGCTCCTGCCTTCTGATGTTCCCAACTTATCCTCTCCTAATCATCAAGTGTATTGTTGCTGTCTAGTACGTGCACACTGAAACCAAAACTCACTTCTCTTTGTAGAACTCTGTGTCTGATAAGAGGCTGAAAGGATCAGCATGATCATTTAAACTACTCTCATATATCACACAGGCTGTAGGATGGCATGTGTCTCCTCCAGCTTATCAGCACTGTGTAAATTGTGGAATCTGAGCTGGACTCTCTTCCAGGAGTGGTTGTAACTCTGCCATACCCAGAGGTGTTATAACCCCTCTACTTCTCAGTGTTCGCTTGTCTGCAGCCGAGACACTCGGTAACCCTTCTGTCTGCCAGCACATCTCCAGCTCGTCTTCATCTGACTTTCCACATGCTCTCTGTCAGTGTGTGGGTACATTTCTTATTCCTCGATTTTGCATCAGGCCATGTTTATAGAATGAGCCATTTGCTAACACATGAAGACATCTTTGGCCCTCTACTGCAGCAGCTGAGAGAGAAAATGGACATTGCCACTGCTTTCCAGCAATCTGGAGAAAATCTGGATGATGTAGGTCTATCTTCTCCTTCCTCACTAGGAGATGAAAAGACATGAAGAAGAGGAGACCAGGAGCCACTATCTTTCCTTTCTACATGTGTGCTGAACTCAGACACAAAAGCATCCCAACATAAGCCCTGTTCTCTGAACTAAAAGTGACGGGGCACTTTGTGCCTCCCTATGACTTTCTTTGCTTTCTTTCCCCACTGTTCCAAAGGATTTGTAACCTCTCACTGCACTTGGACAGTTCAGTCAGTAAAGGTAGATCTGTACAGTATGAATACTCCCCGCTGGCTGGTAAAGCTGAAGACCCCGAATGCCCACTGTAGGGTCTAGTAGGTGGACAGCCATCTCAAAATACTGAGTAAATCCACCAGCAGTGAAGTGTAAAGTTGGATAATGCCTTGCTTCCTGAACACAGAGGCAATAGTTTAGCTGTACTTTTTAAATTTCTACCGTAATAATATATGTGAAAGATAAGTACACATTGGATAAGAATTGAGAAAAATAGCGGTGTTATGTAAATGCCTGCTAAAATGGATGCATCTGGAATCTCTACAGAGTACAATAGTTCAGTTATTTAGTGGTTACTTGAAAAAGAGCACATTCAGAAACCAAATTAGATTGGCATAGCTAAAATGAAGTCATTTTATACAAAATGTTTACTACTATTCTTTCTATTTTTAAGTAGATTACTGAACCAAAATCCTCAAATCTTTTCTACTGGGTATGTTGGACATGATTATACGGTGGGGGTTTTTGTCATCCTGTGAAATCAGTAAGAATTTTAGAGGGTGGGAGTAAATTGAACCATTAGAGCAATTCATGCACTTTTTAAATGGTCATGAATCTTATACTAATCCTTGACTACATAGTTTCAAACATTTTCAGGTGTTTTAATGTTTGATGTGTATCAAATACATTCACATTTATTTGAGGAACTATCATAGCACTCTGACAATATCAACTGGCTGACCTCTTGCAAATAAAACTCTGATAGATCAATAAAGATCAGACATCATATATCCTACAGAGACAAATACCGGTCAACTAGAGAAAGTGGAAATCATTCTATGTGTTCTACAAGAAATCATTCAGTGTGTTTAAAATGTTAAGGAGAAGAAAACATTGTCAAAGAGTTGATTGGAAATTTGGTACAGAAGCCATGCTGGCAAAGTACAAAAGTGTTGTACTTAGGAAAACAGCCACAAAAACACAGTAGTTGCAGCCTTGATGGAAGTGCTGGATTTGGCAACATGGAAAGAAGTAATGCCAAATGGTTAAGGAGCAGCTTTGCTTGGGAGAATAAAAATTTGTATCAGTGTTAAGTCTGCATTTCCGTGCCCCTTCAGAAGGAGCCTGCAGCATCTAATTGTTGAATTTAAAATGATAGCTGAAAACCTCTGGGCATTCACTGTCTTGTGGCCTCAGCACTTCTAAGCAGTGATGGTAGTTATCTAAAGAGCAAAACTGCCCTCCATTGTTCTGCCTCATTTTTATAAGTTTGCTCCCTGCTGCTTTGTATGTTAATTCTTAGCCCATATGGTCAGAGATGACATGTTGTTAAGTACAATAAATCTTCCCATATAACCATCAACCCAACTATTTTCCTGAAGAGGAATGACAAGTTTATCTTACATAAATCCCTAAAAGGGTTCTGTGAAATGATTAGAAGTTGTATATTTACAATGATGCCAGAAGATCAGCAGGTTTATACACTGATCAATCATTTATACACTAGTGAGCAGGTGGCATCCGAGGCTGTGTCTGCTTAACCTTCAAGCAATTCTCTCAAAGGTTAGAGGTAGTAAAGTTATAGTCAGACACAAATATAGGTATAAAAATGTTCCAAAAATGCTAACTACTGAGGATTATGGTATGAACTGCTAGGATTTCATATTTCAGAATAATTTCTATTTAAGATCCTGATCACAATTTGCCGAGATGTCTCCTTCTTCCCTAAGTCCACCTGAAGTCCATCCATTGCTTTTCAGTGCAGTTAATGTCCTTGCAGATAGATACTCCGTTGTGCTCACCCAACATCAGTCCCAAAAAACTTCAGTTGATAGGGTAATATTGACCTTTGCCCTCTGTACTAGGGAAAATGGTTTTGAAAGAACAACCTGGGAAACTCTGGAGAAGCTGGAGATGGGTGGAAAAAGGAAGTCCAAAAGCCACTGCTTGGGTGTCTGCTCTCACAGGATGCCCACTTTGGAAGGGGCCAATTCTCCCTATTTCTCGGCAAAGACTAGATCTGACTTAGTGAAGAAGTATGAAGCCCAGGAAGGGAAGTTCATGGTGCTGTGAGGTCCAACAGGAAAACAGAGCAACCAGCACTCTGGGTCCTGTTGGTTCACCTGAAAGGGTTAGTGGCATCTTTGTATTCTTTCCCTTTCTAGCTAAATCCTTATTTTATTTCTACAGATGTGAGCGCCCATGCTTTCAACAGTGTCATCCTCTTGGCTTCTGTGCTTATCAGTTTACAGAGAGCCTTCTTTACTGTGGTCTTACAAGCCCTGAAGCATATATATTTGTACATGTATGAGAATCAGGAACATGCAGGATGCTTCAGAGCACTGGGAGCACAGTGAAAGTTACCATGGCAAGGAAATGGGGTAAGCAGTGCAAGAGGTCATGGTGGCCAGTGACATTGGTCTCCACCATGGCACACTATATGCTACTGAGATTCTTTTTTAATATTCTAGAGCTACACCTAAAACCCATCAGGTTAGTTCAGCACCCACTAAAACTGGATTACATTTTGTCCCGTTATTCTTCAGAATATTCCCTAAAGGTCTGCATAGCATTGAAATCAGAGTTATCAGCCTATGCTTGTCTAGACCTATAGTTATGTTGTCTTCTGGCGTAAATTAAGGCCCTCATCAAAAAGTTGCAGAGAAAGAAAGTATAATATCTCTCAAACTGGGCATTTATAATAAATAATATTAAGTGTTCCATTTACTTTTCTGGTCAGGTTTCCTGGGGTGTGCTTCAATTCCACTTTGGTTCTCCTTTCTTCTTTCTTTTCCCTGCCTTTCTTACTTCTCTTTTCATATACCATGTAGTGGTATCTCATTTGCTTAGCAAATCTCTTTATTTCACTTTTATTTCAGACATTCAACTTTCATAATCCCAGGACTAGGTGTTTTCTCAATTTATAATTTCATAATTGTAGAAAAAAAAAATCATAATTTAAGCAGACAAAAAACAAAAGTGAAAGGTTTTTTTTTTTTTCAATGTATATCTAGTATTAATTTCTAAACTCTAACAGTAAAAGCATTATAAATGGTATTGTCGTTCTTATACTTCTTGGGAAGAAGAGGTGAATGTTATCATATTATAAGTATATATAAGTGTACGTGGGCTGTTACAGCTATCACTCAGAGCAAAGCTCGCTGCATTGACCAATTCCATTTTTTTAACAGGAAAAGAATGCAGCAATTCATGACTTGTCTAGTCTAATTAATGTTTTGTGCCTTTTTTCTCAGGCTGGAATTTGTGAACTGGCCAGCTTTGACAGTTTGAGGTACTTGGTACTTTTTATTTCTAGATCATTGACTCAAGTATAGCACATAATTGCTGAAAATTGACCGAAAATTGAATCTGGAGGATGACTGATGCTGAAGTATGTGAAAGAGGTTGGTTTCTGTTCAGCTGATGGTAGACAGATGCCAATAACAAAAATTGGATATTTTTTAACCCTGTACTAACAAACATTCTAACTAGGAAGTCTCAGAAATTAATGGAGAACATATCTACCTTTGGATGCCTTCATCACTGGACTTCTAACTTTAGCCATCTAATACCTATTTCCAGAACTGGAATTTACCTAGACATGCTTGTCAAATCTCTGAAAATCAGATTGTCAGTATTGGATATCATGCACCCAAAAAGTGAGGTCTCTTCTAAAGAATGGTATCTACTTGCTCCTGACGGGACTGTCCTTGCAGATTGGGTACATGCTGGCAATGGGTGCCGTGTTAATTTGTTAGGAGAGAGCTGATGCATTTTGTCAGGGCTATGTGGTAGAACCAAAGGTCAACTTTCAATGGCTTGTGTCTACCTTGGAGAGTACAGCAGTTTCTCTTCATTCCCACTCCACCTCAGCATTTGAATCCTATTGAATTAGTAAAGTGAATTAACCTAGTGTTTGACACTTCTTTCTCTAAGTTTCCAAGAAATTTTGTCTCCAGTGATTATGATTTTGCTGCATGTGCCATTTTCTAGTGACAGATTAGCTCCCAATTCCCAATTAACATAATGAGGTATTTAAGATAAAAATAGTCCTCCTTCTGTGCTCCACTCTCCCATTTGGATAATCTGACTTTTAACTTCCATTCTCATTTAAAGAATTTGTGCCTTATAGCAATGAATGGCTGACCTTCCCATCCTTCCAGGACTGCATTAATATTATTGCTTTTAAAAAGACAATGACAGGCAAACCAGCCTTGGCACTACAGTGGCGGTCATAGGCTTGCTTGCTGTTCTACACATTTGGATCACACAGGTAAAGGAACTCTAGTCCCCTATTCAGATTTGCAACAAGTCCAGGTTCTGGAGTTAAATTCACATACTTTCAGAGCTGATTGCAAAGGTGACATTTCTGATTGTTATATTTCTCTGTCCTCTGAGAAATAGAAGGACTTTTTCAACAGCAATCAATATATTCAGAAATTTGACTTTAGTTTTAACAATGTCCCCCTGATTCCTTGTGGCATGATGTGTACCAGCTAGATCTCAAACCAACACAAACCCAGTTATGGAGCCTTTTTTGACAAACTGCAATTTCAGTGAGCGACAGGATTTCAAGAAACAAAGCCTTTTAATGGATGGCAGTTGAATTTAATACTTTGCTTTAGTTGGATTTTTTTAAAATGCTAATACATTTAATTTTTATAACTGAAAGTAAAAAATTATTATTTTCTCATCAAAATAATTTCCTTATGAAATTACACTGCTTATCTGCCCACCTGTTTATCAATCGCCCTCCCTAATAACTTTTAAACCTCTTGTCCAATTTCAACAAAATTTAACAAAAGGCTAATGTCTCAAAAAATATCAAGCTCCCAGAAGTGTTCTGAAAATCAATGGCTGGATAAAATAAGAGAGCATTAGCTAGTGATCCCACTAAGGGAAGAAAGCCAGGAGATTCAGCACTTAACAGCACTAGGCTGACCAAGTCAGCACAAATCTCATTTCAGATATGCTGCACTGCCTGCTGTTTCTTGATCATCTGTCATGCTACATAAAGTTAGTTTGAGTACATGGGAAACATTGCAAGTATTTCTGAATGTATATATGTGTGTGTATATATAAAAATGTAGTGAAAGTGGCACGAAGCCAAAAGTCCTGTAGGAGAGAAGCTGTAACAGACGTTTGGGCCATGTGGGAAGCATGGGAGTTTGGAAAGGTCCGGGGTGTGAAGGGAGCTGGAAGTACTAATGGAGGATCTGAAGAGATGAGAAAGACCGGTATCATAGACAGAAGGTGCACAGGCATAAGAGGAAACAGAGTATTGCTGTGGAGGTGTCATGGGGCTGTGGCAACGGAGCTGGGTCATTGTACTCTGGTCATGTAGAAGGACACATGATGTTCGTCGAAAGCCAGGCTTCACCGCTTCCTTGTACTGTTCATGCAACATTAGGCTCATTTAAAATTGACCAATAAAAAGGTTATTCAGGTATCTAAATAACTCACAAAGTATTTAATGAAAGATTTCTGTTAAACTTTAAAGAAAACAATACAATAGGAAGTAGTGAGAACCCCATTTTTCAAAAGAAACTATAAAAATTCTATTTCAGTTCAGCTCCAAACTATTTTTTCCACTGCTTGCTTCAGCCATTGAACTGAAAAATTGGTTATTTACCTAACAATTATACTTTAAAATATTTGCAGCACAGGCATGGCCAGTACCTTTCACTCAAAGCTTTTCTGTGGGGGCAGCTCACAAAACATGCCAGGCAGCTGGCACTGCCTATTAGGTTCTGGCTGATAAGATCTCAGGCTGTGCTTCAGAGAATTTGTTCCCTTGTTCAGCTGAAGATAAACAAGGCAGAACCAACCAACCTGCCTCCGCCAATGATAATCTTCCTAAGAGATACTATCATTTTAGCAGCTGCTGTAAAAAACTTTTCTGAAGGTCAGCATATATGAAATAATCAATTCTCATCTACAGATCACAATTCAAATGTGTCAAATGCTAGCAGGGCTTATGCTACTGGGTTCGTTAGATGAAGTCCATGATACTGATTGAAGCCATCATCTTTGCTGCAGCTGACAAACTAAATGGGCCACGGGCCATGCCTGGGGAACTTCTTTTAGCTTCCAGAAAATAGATATTAACTATTTCTAATGAGCAGTAGTCAAGCAGTGCCCACAGTATAAGTGGTTTGTAGATAAGCAAAAAGCTATATTCACAAATACTGTCAATCAACACTTTGCAGCAATTTCCTTTAAAGAGAAAAAGAGAGGAAAGAACTAGTCTAGGAGACACAGCATTTTGAAGATGCATCGTTTTGAAGATGCAGCATTTCTCTTGTTACAGCTGAGGAAAATGTGAGATAAAAGCAAGTGCCGTTAATGTGCAGCCTCACCAGCACTGCACCCAGGTGTGCTGTGTCCGGCAGCTCCATCCGGGCTTCAGCCACTTTTTAGGCTGAACCCACATCCAGCACCTCCAACAGACAGCGTGGGGCATGAGAGGGCTTCTCCAGCATAGTGGGCGTCCAGAACAAACCTCTATTATCCAATTTCTGCTGTGGCTGCAACAAACTACCTCAACTCTCACAGCGGTGTCAGCAAGATCCAAATCAAGCCTGTAATCTTTGTGCTAACAAAACTGTTAAGACAGTTTTCTTCTCCTGAAACAAAAACCTCATTCTCCTCTGTCCAGCTGACTACACCTAGAGATTGACCTGGAGTCAGACTGTAACTCTAGGTTCAAAGCATCTAAAAAACAGATGGGCAGAATGCAAAGTTGTTGGTACCCAATGGAAAAATCTTCTTAATTCAATTACTTTGCATGCTGAGATAGTTTTAGGAGATCATTAGGTACATCTAAATTTAGCCTGCAGCAGCACAGTCTCTGTGCAAATGGCTCTCTGAGCTTGGGAGGGAAGGAGGTTGTGGCAGCTCTGCAGCGATGTGGTGGGGTTTGGAGATGCTGGCCCTTGAGGGACGCTGCTTGCTCCAGGCCTGGAGGCAGCTGCAGCAGCGTGGCTCCGTACCAGCACCGACCCTGGAGGCGACGCGGCTCTGCACTGCGCTGAGCTGACACAGCCGTATTGGGTTTAGGACTCAGCTAATATCTGCACAACACCTTGTGTCGAGTGAATGTGCTTTAAGCTGCTGGTTTAGTCTCAGCATTTCAATTTGTGTGTGTGGTTTCCCTCCTCCAGATGTTTCCAGATGCTATTTCCATCTGGAAAGGAGCATTTTGGGTATTTTTGTCTTTGGCCATGTACATATCACTTAACAGAGCACGGTGCGCAGATCCCTTAAGCTCACAGCAGATCACTCAGACACAGGGTAGAGCCTAGCTCAGGTCTTCAGGGCCTCATAGCTGCATTATTGTAGTACTGGCTGAGATAAGAAACCCTGCTGACACGCAGGATTTATGGGCTTGAGCGGAGAATTAACCCCCTGCCACAACTTTGTCCCCCCTTTCAGACACAGGTAGCTGTGCAGAGTCCTCTGAGCTGTGTCATTTTGTGTGATGAACAAACACCAAGTGTCCCCCAGCATCACTGCCCGGTCTGCCTCATTAAGAGCTTGTCTAGCCCTCTTCAATCAAAAGAAATACAGTCAGGTGCAGGAAAGGGAGAAGTAATTCAGTGCTGGAACAATTACAGTTGCATGAATTCAAAATGAACACTGTGTTTTTTGCTTAAAAGCACCCAAAAGGCAGAACAGCAGATGGCTGGAATCAGTCCTTACCTTGAGGCCGGAGCAGAGGAGTGGGCAGTCAAAAGACAATTTTCAGTTCTGTATGTCTTTGGGCAAAGCACGTAACTGCTCTGTGCCTCAGTTTCCTCTGAGACTCCAGCACTATTTGCTTGCCTCCAGCATCTTCTGTAGGGATTTTTCAATTAACACTTCTGAAATGATTGGAGTTCCTCATGAGGAAAATACGATAAAAGTGCATATTACTGTAAAAAACAATTTGCTAAAAATAACTCTCATCAAACTGAGGAAGTTCAAAAGAGGTGCTGTTTTGTTCAGATAACATAAGGGAGAGCCAAAGAGGGAATGGTACGAATCTCATCCTGCTCAGAGGGATGAGGCCAAGCAGCATTGCAGGCGTTGAGTCTGCATGGCATGGCTGTACATCCCGAACTGACTTGTGCTTCTCCCGCAAGCGCAGGGGCTGAGGTGTGTCTCTATAGAGTGAGCAGGGCAGGATGTGATGGGAGGACAGTGGTGCTGGGAGGGACAAGGTGACACTGCTCCTGGTGGTGCTGAGCAGCTTGGCAGCCAGCTGCCATGCTCCCAGCTGCCAGGCGGGATCCAGCCGGGGCTGAGCACTGC